CCCCAAAACCCCAAAACCCCAAAACCCCTAGCCCCATCGCCATAATTGAACTTTAAAAACCTTTATGTGTGATTACCCAAAAGGCCTCGCGTCCGAATAAACTTCTATCGAAAATGTCTGCTCAAGCTAAGAGAAAACAGAAAGAAGTCGAAGAACAAGAAGAGACTGAGACTCAGGATGAACGGGTTGAAGGACCGACCCTGACTAAAGTCCTCGAGAACGAAGGAATCAACGCAGGTGATATTAAGAAGCTCGAGGATGCAGGCTATGCCACAGTTGAAGGTATCGCCTTCACACAGAAGAGACAGCTGACTCAGATCAAGGGCCTTTCAGAAGCGAAGGTTGACAAGATACTTGAGTGAGCAGCCAAGATCGTTAATCTTGGATTTTGTACAGCGACTAGTTTCTTTGAGAAGAGACAAGCTATTACAAAGGTCTCGACAGGGTCGAAAACTCTGGATGCGCTCTTAGGAGGAGGAGTCGAGACTGGATCGATAACAGAGATTTTTGGAGAATTTAGAACTGGTAAAACACAGATCTGTCATACTCTTTGCATAACTTCCCAACTCAGTGAGGAAAAAGGAGGTGGTGAAGGAATGGCTATGTATATCGACACAGAAGGAACCTTTAGGCCTGAAAGATTAGTCCCAATAGCTGAAAGATATGGACTCGATATCAATGAAGTACTTGAAAACGTAGCTTACGCAAGAGCTCACAACTCAGATCAACAATGCAAGCTCATCAAGCAAGCTGCAGCCCTAATGTGCGAGAACAGATTCTCTGTCGTCATTGTAGATAGTGCAACTGCTCTCTACAGGACAGATTATAGTGGAAGAGGAGAGCTTTCTGCAAGGCAAATGCACTTGGCTAAATTTCTCAGAAGCCTTCAAAAGCTTGCTGATGAATTTGGAGTGGCTATCGTAATTACAAACCAAGTGGTTGCTCAAGTTGATGGTGCATCAATGTTTGCAGATAGCAAAAAGCCGATCGGAGGACATATCATGGCTCATGCCTCCACTACCCGCTTATCTCTTAGAAAAGGAAGAGGTGAAACTAGAGTTTGTAAAATTTACGATTCCCCTTGTCTCCCAGAAGGTGAAGCAATGTACAACATCACAGAGGCTGGAATTGATGATTGTAAGGATTAATGCCTAATTTAAATACAAATTTCAATAAATTTCTTTTCTAAAGGGGTTTTGGGGTTTTGGGGTTTTGGGGAGAT